CAAAATAAATATAATAAGATTTATATTTACATTCACATGCATGTAGGAATTGATAAAGTGAAATATTTAGTCGGAATGAAGAATGTAAATGGAATTACCCTACGACGATAGGTTGAAAACATGAGGAAATATATATATATATATATATATATATATATATATATATATATATATATATATATATATATATATATATATAGATAAATAGATACTTTATTTCTGTTGAATGCAAAATACATTGTAGAAAAGGTCATATAAAAGAACAAAAAAAGAAAATATACGGGCTTACAAACTTGCACCAAGTTAATAAATAAACCTAATTAATCAACTGAAACATCTTACTCTTAAAAGATCTACTCTGACAAAAACTCATCGAGACTGTAATAACATTTAACAACTAAAAATTTACTTAATCTAGATCTGAAACTAGGCACCGAAATAGCGTCCTTAATTTCGGTGCCGATTTTATTATATATCTCAAGTCCCATGTACACTGGTGATCTCCTTCCAATTTTGAATTTATAGTTTGGCATAACAAGATTATTTCGGTATCTTGTTTCATACTGGTGTTGGTCACTATGTCTAATAAAATGTTTATTACTTTTGTGGATTAGTGTAGCTCTATGTATATATATATATATATATATATATATGTATATATATATATATATATATATATATATATATATATATATATATATATGTATATATGTAGTTTTAAAATACATAATGTTTATTTAGAAAATACATAATTTCAAACTTAAAAGCAAATTTGACATGATTATATTAATATGATATTAATAGATAAAATAACTTTTCAAGGCTTGACTCGGTTTTCTCCCATAAAACACAATGTATCTCATAATAGACTATGATCCCAGTGCCATCAGACGACAGGTATTTTCTGACGTAGTTTCCTGCTCAGACCGTCAAAAATAATTATGCACACGCGCTCGTACACATAGAAACATTTAAATTGAGTTTAAGGGATGATTTGTCCCTTGGATGGGTCTGCTTTTTGTGAAAGGTTTTGAAATAGTTGCCAGGCGGACATTATATCAAGGGAACGTCAGAATTGACGTAAAGTTATATAATTACTCAGGGAGCTTTGAGGCGACTGCAAAGCAAAACGGTCGACGGAAAGTGTATGGGAGTATTGGCGACTTATTTTTAATGATATTGTCTAAATTATATGTGAAAATCAGCAAGGAAAATTTAAGTGGAAGGTAGGATGTACTTTGATAATCAGATACCTCGAAATTGGCCGTCTAAGCAGGCTAGCAGGAAGGAATGCGTTCTTAGTACATACTTACAATACTCAATTAACCACATTTCGAATGTCAGAAAATACGTGACGTCTGGTGGCCCTGGAATCTTGGACTAAAAGTGATACATATTACATTAAATGAGATTGTTTGTGCAATTGCTAAGTCACTCTATTTTATTCAAAACATAAAAGATTTTCAATAATGATTTGTTCACTATAAGATGTTGGTAGGCTAGCTTATTACGTAACAACTCAAGACAGAACATCCCATAAGGTGATCTCAAATTCTCAAGTAAGGTGAGAATCTTACTTAATGACAATCTAAACTCCAGAGAATTATAATGCTCTTGCATAACTTCCTTATAGTGCTCCTTATTAACCGTACGACCTGTTGGCACGAACTCATTGTTCACCACGACATTTTAATCGAAGTGTGTAAAATAGTGAGTAAAACCTTCACATTCCACCGAACTTGGCGTGCTTTTTTGGTCTTAGCTCTTCTGGCCGTTTCCACTGGGATGATTAGACCTTGGTTTTGACGTCATAACCATACACTCATGTGTATGATTATTCGTCACCAGTTATGACCTTTTTGACAAATGTGGATCATCTTTGACGTTATTCAACACCTTCTGAGAGATTCTAATGTCACAATGCAATTGCTCAAAATTCAGCAATTTCTAAACACACGTTTCATGCCGAACACATTAGAGAAAATTGCGTGGCATGAGCCGATTGATATGCAACATCCTCTACAACTTCCTTAACGGTGACTTGACGATTTTCCAAAATCATTTTCTTCGCTGTTTCGATGTTTTCTTCATTGACGTGGTTGCAACTCCAGGACGCTCATCGTCATCAACACGTTCTTGGCCAACTGTAAAGCGCTTGTACCACTTTTTTGAGACAAAGTACACTCTCCGAATGCCACAGTCAACATTTTAACTGCGTTGGAAAACTTTATTCCATTTTCAACGCAAAATTTAATACAAATTATGTGATCCATTTTCTTCAAAAGTAAAAAATCGAAGAACACACAAAAAGGAGCTCACTTTTTCAGTTGTCTGAAACAAACTACTAATCCAAAATAATAATGTCGAAATATGAGAGACGTATGTGCAAAAATATAACAAAAACAAATTTCAATAATTGAATGTGCACAGTCCACGAAAATTCAAAATTCCCCCTTTTATGAATAGGCCTCGTATAAATATTGCAAAAAACACATACATAGCGCTTATTGCCCATGAAAGAAAACGAAGAAGAGGACGAAATATATATATACACGCAACCCACGTTAATTAAAAAATAAAAAATCGGAATGGGATTCAAAATGAATGGGATTCAAATGTTGCACATATTTATCACACTACTTATAAAACTATCACGAAGACTTTATTATACTATGCTTAGTATAATGAATATAATTTTTCCATAAAAAATTAAAGAGAAAATGTTTCGAAATAATTACAATTTTCATTGTGCACGAGTCACAATAACAATGCAGTCTTCCACTTTTCTCTGAATCACTTATAATACATTATTCAAGTAGTGTACAATAAGTGATGATTGACTTACACGTACTTCTAAGTATGTACGCATTTTAACTTCATTACATTCCACTGTGAATCTGCTTTTGGTTCCCAGAATATAAAGTAGATATGGAGAAAAATTAACCTACAACAACATTAATGAATTACAGCTGTTTCTTCAATGCTGTATGTTTATTTATACTACTACACCTTGACGTATGAAAGATATTTACAAACTTTGTGTTGAATAATAAATAAGAATTGAAACACTTGGCTACTTGGAGTAGTTCTACTGAGTATATTAACAATTCTACATATGTTTCGGGTGGTTGGCGATTATCAAGAGTAATAACAATATTAACTGTATGAAAACAGAGTTAATATCGTTATTACTATGTTATTTGTCAAGAGTATCATAAGATAAGCGAGACCTCCGTGTCATTTATTAAACTTCATGTTATTATAGTAGGCCTGCCTCAAGAATTTATATACTTCGTGTTCTAATTACTCGATAAAAAAACATAACGGCATTTTCAGGAGTTACAACAAAATTTACAAACAACAAGCACCTAATACTAAATATTCATTTTCGGAGAAATACAATGTTGCAAAAAAGTACCAGTAATTTTGTTCCTTTATAAAAATAATGATAATCTTCATTCATATATATCTATTATATTACATATTATATTATATTATGCATATATTACACGTAATAATACCCCTAAATTATACGAAGAATGTCCAATTCCTTATAAATGCTTGTCTCTTTTAATTATAAACATATGAACAACAACACATGTACTTTTTCTGAAAATGCTAACAATAAAATGATATAAATTAGTAGTAATATAAAATGAAGTCACAATAGTTTAGCAATGGAATTAGCTATCGGTATTAACATTAATTTATAGAAAATAATTTACATTTTTATCAATAAATTATAATTTTAATGTGATCCAATTATCAGAGTAGTTCCTCCTTTTCTGACCTATTCATTTCTTGAGAGCTGTTTCAATTTTTCTCACATATAGAGCGTGTCTTTCCGATTCTGTTTCCTCGCACACTTTTTCAAACAAGAGTCTTGAAAATAATTTGAAACCGTATAAATGAAGCATTCAAATTTTCAGTATATAGAATTTTTTTTTATTCCATATTGTCTGTAGAATTAATATATACGTTAAAGCATATCTATGATATATTATTTTTCGTCCTTGGAATAAGGTTTTATAAATGTCCTTTACCTCGTCGGTTTAAGTCGGAAAAGGCATTTGTGGTTATCGCAGTGATTCATTAATCATAGTTAAATTGAAAAGTTTCAACCAAGTGCTTGAATAAATTTAACAATGAAGGAAAATTGCCTGCTAGCTAGCGCACTTCATTTCACAATACCGTGGAGCAAAAATGTAATGAGTCTATATTTTGACACATCTTCGTAAATCTGACTTTCAAAGGACTTTTTTCATGAGATTTATAGCTTTCGTTATTTGTTCAGACATTGACTGCTTCATCATCGCATACTGAACAGGATTTTCTCACTATATGTCATTATCATCAAAGAATATATCAATTATATCGAAAAATTCATGTTTTTCAGAGAAAATCTTATTCAAAATAAAGAACGAATATAATTAAATGTACTTTTTTAGCAACTTCAGTTGCCTTAAATACGTATTGAATAAAGTACGCAGACAAGAAATCAATTGATCACAAAGATTTCGAATATATCGTTGGTTTTTCGACTAACTACATTATCTGCGAATGGTGAATGTCAGTTGCTTAATAAAGGGATCTCCAAACCATATTTTGATCACCTGTAAAGCCGATGGTGCAATTAAAGATTTTCCTATAAGATCTGGTACTTCGTACTATTATGTAAATTGCTATGATGCTTTTAATGTATTTAATGAGATGTAAGTTAATACTTCGAATTTTTCATCTATCAAATTTTCATACATAATAACTGATGGCGAGCAATTCGTCCGTTTTTGAAAAAATTATATATTTACAAATAATTTTTAAATTTTTTAAAATTTTTATTACTATTTTTTTTCTTGACTTTTCTCTTAACTCTTGGAGAAATATCATTAAATATTAAATCAAATTAAACACCTGGCCTAATGCCAATTGTCTAGTAGCCAACGTATATTACCCAACAATTATCATCATTAAACTATTCAGATCATAGACAAACACATATATGCCTTCACCAGGGCTCGAACCCGAATCCTACCACACCATTGTTGGTTGTTTTACCGACTAAACCACGGAGAGCGCCTACTGTATTTGGGAAACTTGTCTGAAGTAAACTTTATTTGACCTTTGCATCAAAGTGTGAAAAATTTTCATCTCGGCAAGGCAAAATTCGAAAGATTTAATTTTAATTAGAAATTACAACGTGTAATTCGAGATATATATATATATATATATATATATATATATATATATATATATATATATATATATATATATATATATATATATATATATACTTATAAGCGATTATAAAGATTCGTTGTATGAATTCTCTTCTAAGACTACCTTTTGATTTTGATAAAAGAGGAAGACGGATTATCTAAAGACGAGAAATAAGGAATCCAACAAATAAAAATCGTTTGTATAACCATTAAAGTGTAAACGTACTACACTGCATTGAATGTTGTTGGAATTTTTTCAAACCTATTAAAAATATAATAGAAATTTAAAAAAAGAAGCCCTCAAGAAAGAACATGGTGAAATTTATAGAAAAATCATGCAGTGAAGCTAAAACCAGCAAAAAGCTCACAAAGTAATTTATTCTTAGAACGTATCAAAACTGTATTCTTCAGAAAATAATAAGGGTAAATATGATATACATGACATGCTATAATAATTCAAAGTAACAAACTTCAGTCGCGTCACGTTTATGAATTTCCGACCGTATATTCTTGGTATTTATTAATTCCCAAAATATAAAAACTTGAGGGAGAAAATCAGAATTCCCTATATAAAGACATCGAAAAATTATCAGTTCGAAATTCATAATCATGAATAATACGCCACTTATAAACTGAATTGAAAATTTTTTTTGAAGTAAGGTGTCTCGACTACATGGTAATTGAAAAAACTGTATTATTTCTAGATGTGTAAACTACACAAGGTTGTATATCCACATTTCCCGATAAATTTTAATGTAACTTCAATTTGGGCCGTTGTGCTCAGAATGTCTTTTATATTGTGTTTTAGTCCCAGTTGGTTACGACCTCCTAATTTTTTGGACACCAGATGAGTATATGATGAACTGTCAGAGGGAGACTATCACAGTATTCGCACTTGGGTTGTTCGCCTGATGAATTTCAATTCATACTGCAGTAAATATTGAAAAAAAAACAAACCCATGCTCGAATGAAACAATACGAGTACTGATGCTAAAACATTATAGATTGATTATTACACATTATAGATAATTGTATTATAACTCTGTGGATATAATATATAAGTAAATCAAGCAATCATAATTTTGCCGAATAGCCATTCCAGAGAAATTTAAAGTCTACTCCACATGTCAGATTTGCTGTCATAAAAATGAACCAATATTTCCCGAAGGGAAACACCAATTCATTTCGAATTTGCAACCGATACGTAGATTAAATGTGCCTGAATCACTGCTCGAATGGTTGATCCAACAAAATTGGAAGAACAAGCTAATCAAATGTTCGTGGAAGCATTCACATTCATTGGAGTGACATGTCTGCAATTTGTGTATTACTTCTATCTGTTGCTATTAGTTTGTATGTATAAAACCATGTGCAAATGTATTGGTATAGAAAATTTGGAATATTGACAGAAATGGTATTATAACATGGGAATAAATTTTCTTTAGGAACGACTGCAAATTCATAGCGATTATCAGAAAGGTTTTCCCTATAAAATCATAATTCAGGATCAACATGCATCAACAATTGCTTAAATACAAAACTATATATTATCAAGCAAGATCTAACAATAGTAAGGGGTATTCAGTCAAGTCGAAAATTCACATGAAATTATAGGCGAGTGAAACATTTTACCTACCTAGTCGGGTGTTTTCATTAGTTGAACGGATATGTATTCCTCTCATTTCATGGCAAGTTTTTTAGTTCGAAAAATCTCAATGTTATAATATAGTAATATATTGAAAAATTTTTTCAATAAATTTTTGGAAGTCACGAAATCTTGGTCTTGCTAACAACTTTGACAATACTCGTTTGTATTATTTTTAATAAATCCCGGATTATATTCGTATTTATTTCATATCATTTTTTATGTTTATGTACCCTAGTTATTATGCTTCTTATGAATGAAATCTTAGAAGTGGAAGTCAATTTTACATTACCATTTTATGTGAATCTATTATTATATAAATGATCACTGAAACCATCGATCAGAGATCGCATCTATTTTCTTTTTAATGAAACTATAATTGCATACCTTGTCATTTCGAGGATATCACTAACTTGAACTTGTTCAAAAAAACCGATTGAAATTTGGATCACTAAAAGAAATGGATCGACATAAATAATACAAACGTTGATTCACAAAATTATTCAATGGGTTGATTTGAATTGGTTATTTTGTTATTCTTACGATATGTACCTTGAAGTGTACATATATTAGGTAAAGAGAATATATAAAGTGAATTTTTTTTGACTTTTTTATTGATGAATCATGAATGCAAGACAGTTTCAATTGAAGCCAAAATGTTCGGTTTATTTAGCATTTGCGGTACTATTAAAGATTATTTCGTTTGTTCAGTTCTGAGGTTGCTGACTGATATTATTGTTTTGCAAATTTTGTTCAAAATTAATAATCGTATCGTAGTTAATTACGTAATCGTAAAATACGTAATAATAATTTTTTCTTAATTCAGTGGACCTACCGTTTAACGCCGCCGCCGGTTCCGTACGGCAGTTGGGCTTGTAATCAATGTATCATTTTTAAAGCATAGACAAACACATACATCTATGCCTCTACTGGGGCTTGAACCCGAGTTGCACCGCACCATAGTCGGGTGTTTTCCCGACTAAGCCACGGGGACTGACGTTTTAATAATAATAATAATAAGTTCTTTATTCTCAACAGGTATAACACCTAATTACAGAAAATAATAACAGTGATGAATACATAACTAAATAATTGACAACAAGATTGAACGAAGAGCTCAATATAATCTAAAAAACCTAAAACAGTAACTTATAACTACATTATAGCATTCAATGGAATATTACAAAGAACTCAATCTAAATCAATTCATTTTAATCAATATTCTTTGTTCACATAACTCCTGATAATAAATTCTATGGAGTCGAAGTGAATGTCACAATTACTGGCAACTCTATTGAATGTAGACTCAATAAACCAAATGGGGGATTGTATTACGGAGTTGGTCCTCGGAGTCTCTAGGTGGAATAATTCTGTATTACGAGAATTTTGCCTAGGAACACGAAATTTCAAAGCGGACAAGAGAGGAGGACAATCAATACTATAGTGCAGTATTTTGTACAAAAATTTGTGTGATAAAGTTTCTCTCCTGCTCTGCAATGAGATCAAACTAAATCGACTCAATAATTCGTTATGATTGACTCCTCTCTGTGGATAAACTTTATCCTCTCTCCAAACTAAGAATTTCAAGAACCTTCTCTCAATAGCCTCAAGATGGCGTTGATGGCAAGTATAAATGGGATGCCAGATTGTTCTGCCATACTCCAACTTGCTACGGATTAGGGAATTAAATAGTCCTATGAATGTTAATGAATTATTAAAATATTTGCCATTACGTATAACGAATCCATATATTTTCGCAGCAGATGAAATAAGTTGGGTGATGTGTGGGACAAAGGAAAGCTTCTGGTCGAAGAGTACACCAAGATCTGTTTATACCACCAAGATCTATTAATAATTATTTAAACTAAAGAATATAACTGAAGAAAAACCACATCTACCTGTGTAAGTGTGGATCTACTTTGAATACCCGAATCTTGAAAATATGGTTCATGTATAAAGTTACATTATACCTATTATATCGACAAAAAGTATTTGCATGGAATAAAATTTTATGATTGTTTCTGAATGATTATATTTAAGCAATTGAAAAAGTGAATTTTTGATTCAAAAGCGTCAAGAAATACATGGTTATATTTTCAGGGGATTTCGCCTAAAACCTTTAAATTTCAATGAAGCTTACATTGGACGTCCCAAATAATGATTTCGTTGTCTTTTCTATAGAAGGTAAGAAAATATTTGAATATTATGAGTGAATAAATCTTCAGTATTCAATTTCTATCCCAAGATAAGTTATCGCGCTAGCGGAATGTCGAAGACAAAGGAACAAGTGGGAAATAAAGGTGATTTTTAACTTGAATGACTATAAAATTTGTCGGATTTGAAAACAGCGAACATGGCAGTAGTACTAAGAAGCACTGAAAAACTTATTGCTATTGAATTAACAAATACAGGGTGCATCTACACGATCAACAAATCTTCTATTCAACAGATTCGATCTCAAATAAAAAGTAATAGCACATAAGTCCACGACTACCAATTATCATTAAATTAGGTAAAAAGGAGCAATTTATTGCTGTACTGAAAGTGTACCATCATTCCGGTTAAGACCATGCTATAACAGTGACAACGGATTAGTGATTAGTTCGTAAACACGTTAATATAATAAATCTAAATGATAGACTTGATGGGAATATTTATCTGAATATTCGAAATTAGTAGAATAAACCTCCCAAGAAGTCAACTATACGAACAATATACTCTCCCTACAATCCGAAAAGTAATTCCAGGAAATTCTTATTGGCCATCATGTGCTATGTAAGCACTAAAACGACCTGTTGAGTATTTCCATGACCAAAAGTAGGCCATAGCAGGAATTCCACAGTAGAGTACGTTCTTCTATTAGGAAATTTCCAATTAACCTATACCAGTAAAGACACACTTTAATAGCAGATAACAAATCATACACCTCGTTTATCTACGAGTCCAGAAATAATAACCCTAGAAATTATTGAAAAAATAACGCAGCACAAACGACAAATTATCTGATTCAAAACGAAATATTTTGTTTGTCGATGATTAATCGAATATCAAAATACTGTTGATAGTATTAGTTATTATAATTATATTGTGTTCTCATATATGATACATTCATTTCTAAACAAGAAACAACGATATCAAATAATCAAATTCTTGCAATTTGCTAGGCATAGTATGAGTTCCATCTACCAAACTTAAATCAAATTAATAAACTCA